ACAGTTATAGTTAATAGTTATTGAATTGAAGTTAACTTGTAATTCGTTTTCTTTAACCCTTCAAAAGTACCATTGTACCAACTAGATTTTATTTTCTGAATATTATTATATTCTATTAACAAATAAACGTATCGCTCATTCACTATATATGTTCAAAATATTAAACTGAATTTATAGTGTTTGTATCACCGTTTATACTTTTATAGACATACCTATCAACTAATAATATATAAAATATAACTATAAAATATATGTTTATATAACCACATAACAATGTATGAATATCAACAATCAAATATTCAAATGTAATTAACAAGAAACCTTCAATATGATTTTATGTTTAAATAAAAAGAAAACATTTTTTAAATTTGTTGTACTTTTAAATTTGTATTTTGTATATTATTATATGTATACTGATATTCAATAATCAATATGACAATATCACATATTTATATTATTTATACTATCTTAGTTACATTAATCTTACATCAACCGTGTGGCGTGTGTGTTCTCACATATTATAAAAAGATAATCATTCTTTTAATTTGTTTCAACCCATTGAACTATATATTATTGGTATTATTATATTATTATTATATGTTTCAACCACAAAATACCACTTTGATAATATTATAGTAACCCGCTTAAATACATTCTCTGTGAYGTTTCAAGGAGAATCGAAAGCTAAATTAGTCAGGAACAGCTGATAAGAGCCTAAATTGATTGTTTATTTGATAAATGCTATCACGCCGCGGTGTGTGAATATTATAGTGAATGGCCGTAGTGTGCTACTGTGCAATACATCATAATCCTTTTCCATTTCCACACATTTTCACTTCGCTCCTCCTACACTAATAGACACATYTACTGGTCGTGTTAGTCTAATGACCACTGCAGAGGACTTAGAATTATCGGATTCAGAGAAGGTTCAACCTTGGAGCACAGACAGCGGCATGGAATCAATGACTGACAGCAATAAGGATCTAACGCCAACGTCTGAAAACTTCGATGACGATGAAGAAGTTCGTTAATATATTTATATATTACTATCGATATTTCATTATTCGAACACTTTTTTTTTACATATTTTTCACTATGTGTAGGATGAAACTTTGGGCGAACGTCTATGGGCTTTAACTGAAATGTTTCCAGATTCTGTAAGAAACRGCACCAAAAAAATAGTTAATACCACTGGTAAAGTCATTTTAGGTAAGATATTAGTTTGTACACACCATWAACCCCTACTAATTGCAAAYAATTTACAGAAACTTACTTATTTGCGTGTACTTCAACATGGTACATCTCAACGACAGCGGCTTTGTTACTTATGCCTGTATTATTTGAAACTGAACGCATACAGATGGAAGAAGCACAGAAAAATCATTCAAAACAAGTAAGTATCTTAATTACATATTTATTAATAAAGAAGTATATTTTTAAGTTTGCTAATATATTTTTGTTTTGTTTTAGCTTCTTCTTGGTCCTGGTAGTGCCGGTAACTTGGGCGGTGGAACTACTATGTTACCCAATTAATATATTTTCGGCGCTTTTTTTATTTTTAACCTATCTACCTTAGTTTTGGCTGAAAAAAAATATTTGTATCCTTGTAGTTTTGGAGTTTWATTTTTATTCCTTTTTTTACTAGAGATAAGTGAATTTAATTTAAAAATATAATAAAGACACTTAAAAAATCATATTTATTATGAAACATGTTTACAAATCTGAATGATAGATACACATGTTTGAGTAGTCCAGTATGTATGTCACAACTTATTTAACAAGTTTTATTAATAAAAATGTAAATTATAATATGAAGATATTATTCCTTTCAACTTACAGAAAAAATTATATTTTACCATATTTTTTTTATGAAGACAAAATTGATGTGTTTGTTATACACATAATAATGATTTTTTCCCAGAGTTATTGTCTACAGACAGCTCAATAATATTATTCTGTAAGATTTTATGTAAGTTAATTAAACAATTTTATTTGCAGTACATGTGTAAGTAATTTTTTTGTCTATTACAAGATTATTTATTATTTTTACATGTGTTACACTGGAGTACACTGGAGAAATTTCCCATTTAAATGTGTGCAATGCAATCATTTTTATATAAACCAGGTATGAGATTAACAACATGTTGGATTGATGCTTACCATTTTAATATACTACTAATGTTCTTAGGTACAAATGGAAGGGAAATTGAATTACTGAATTAGTGTCATCCTAGCTTTGGCCTTTGATCGTGTTTGTGTAAAAAGACTACCAGGTTCCAAAATGTATAATATAATAATATATTGTCATGTAACCAATGTCTCTAAGTTTTAGGGCATTTGTATTTAGTTATAGATTTAATATACTTAATTAAAATCATTTGGTTTTTAATTGAGCAAAACATTTATCTATTAATTACTGAAAACTGAAATGTTTATTTATAATTATTCATAATAATTTAATTGTTGCTGCTTAGAACATGGTATATTCCCATGCCTATTCTAATTCTAATTATTTGTAAAAGATTTATAATTTTAAGATGCAATAAGTAACTGGTCAAAATTATAATTATTTTATTATATTGTATACCTAATTTGAGGCAGACGATTTGATAAATATCAAAGCAGTCTTTAATAATAAATAAAAAAAACCCAGCGAAAAATGAAATAGCTGTATATTGAGATTAATTTAAATATAAAGCTATTTTAATTGAAGGTGCCTGGTGCTGTTTATTATTGATTTATATATCATATATAAGTAGAGCCCRGATTTCTATGCAATTGCATATTTTTTTCCTTTTAATATTTTTGGATTGTTGTCAGTTATCTCCACGAATCATCATAATTTGAAGCTAATGGAGAAATTATTTTTTTGCATATTTCTGCATATTTAAAGGTTATTGCATATTTTTGCATATTTTGGCAAAATTCAAAATTTATTGCATATTGAAGCGAAAATTAAAAACAAAATTAAATGATATTTTTTCCAAAAACAAAGGCCTAACAGTATTACGTAACATTAATAAAGTATTAATAGGGGAAGCGGAAGTGRTTCTACTAGATCAAAACTATAAAGATCCAATGATTTTAAGCTCTTTTAAATTTGCTCCAATAACTTCGGTAGATGTTGACCGATCATTTTCAATATACAAGCATTTATTAACAGATAGACGGCACAGTTTTACCGAAGAAAAACTTGAATATCATTTAATAATTAATTTTAACAATAAATAATAAAAACACACATTTTGAGTTGTATATTTTGTTTTTTTTTTAAATATAAATAATTRTGTATTTATTTGTATGTGTTTAAATTTAAATATTTGTATTTTTTTCGTGCTTAACATAATTTTTAATTTTTTAATATAACTTTTTTTATTGCATATTTTTTGCATATTTTAATGATTTTCACTGCATATTATATGGCATATTTTGATACTTTTTAGTGCATAATTATCCGGGCTCTATATATATAAGTAATAGGTTAAATCAGAGGTATTCAAACTGTGCGTCGCGAGAGTTTGCAAAGGGAGCCAAAGCACCAAAAACCAACATCATACCTAGGTCTTGTTTACTTATTATAAATATTATTTGCAATCATTATGGAAATGAAAACGATACACCTTACAATTCAACCATTTGAAGTTTTATTTCTAGTACTAAAATCACTGCTATTATCACCCATATTGAATCCATGTGTTGTTTCAATTTTTCATAATAATTTGGGAGCTGTTAAAATATTGTGAACCCCCAAAGGAGTCGCATGCTGAAAAAGTTTGAATACCTCTGGGTTAAATGATTGGGTTTCATTATCCAAAAACCACTCTTGTTTTTGAGGMCAATAAAACATCACATTCAACATCAAGTTGGCTAAATTGGATGAACAAATAAACCATTTTAATATTAAAACATTTCCTGGACAATGCAAAGATGTTTTACCGAGATTCCTAATATTATAAATTATAATCAGATAATGAAGATTTTGAACAAGAGCACAGTCTATTCTGTGGTATTGTACCATGATGTATAACAATAACAATGAGTGACAGAGATGATAATCAAATAGCTAAAGGAATAAACTATGATAAATGTAATACATGTATTAAATGTGCTTTTTAGAAATATAAAAATTATAAACCACTAGTAAGCAAGCATTTTTTAAAGTTGAAAACTTAAAACCCAATTTTGTTCAACATTACACAACTTTCTTGTAATAATGTTACTTTACAGTCTACAGCAATGTTTAAATAATATTATATTCTTGTAAAAAGTGGATTATGTCTCAGTGATTTTAATGAGAAAATAAATAATACTTACATTTGTCATAAAAAGATAATATATTATATTATCAACACTACTATTGCTATTGTCTCATTATTTATTATTTACAAATAAACACTTAAATGTTGTTCTTTTGAAATGTAATTCATAATTAGAAATTAGAATTAAAATATTAGTGCTATGTCCCTTAATAAGGGATAATATGTGTCCCAATTATTGATTCCTTCCCACTTCGTTTCAATAAGATATTTATAATAGTCAATTATATTTCTTAATGTATAAAATATATTATTATACAAAACAATATTTTGGAAGTTGTATCAGCAGTACCATACATATTTGTTTACAATTTTCAGCCTCAGTCTTTCTTTCATGAACCTTCTATCCTTTGAGGCACTGAKTATGTGCATTAAATATTTAAATACYATTATTGCAATAAGGTAGTATAACTCATGCAATTAGTTTCAAAACTGCAAGTAGATCACCATCTAGATAAGAGAGTATAGACGAGATAGCTCATTAAACGGGTGTCACTGGAATCATTTATGTTTGTAGAAAATTTTGTGATAATTGAAACATGTGCAAATTGTTCAAATTAATTTTAAAAATAGATCATAATATAAGGACCAGAATTAATTGTTTTATTTATTATGATACCAATATTATACATTAAATATCATTTTATTTTACACATGTTATAAATAATTTTTGTAACAAAGTTTTTATCATACTAATATAAATTTCATATATACAGTAGAACATCAATATACCAATAATCTTAAGTCAAAATAAATACCATTTACTAATCCAATCTAACCTTAGTAAGTTTAAGAAATTTATTTCCCTTAATCTTTTACTTTTAATSAAGTTCTACTGTACTTGCTTACTATATTTTATTTTATATTAATAATATAATATAAAATGTATATACAATTGATTTCAGATAATAATTCATACTAAATTTCAAAAAAAAAAATGAATAGGTAGACCACTAAACCATATCCTATAAATTGTTGTATAGGTAACATTAAATTAATTTATAACCATGTTTGACTCTACCATTGATTCTAAAGCTGGCGGTGTGGAATATTTAACTTTCTTGTTATTTTTCTGATTTTTCCTTAAGAATAAAAATAAAAAATAAAAATAAATTTTACAGTAATAGTATAAAATAATTAAATAAATATTAGTATCATTACTTATTTCCATAATGCTGCAAAAAACTCTTTGAAATATTATGAACTTCTTTACAATGAGCATTTCGTGTTTCAGAATTCCAAAACTGGGTTTCACATGTTTCAATGAAACATTTGAACTGTAATATTATATATATATATATATTTTTTTTTTAAATAAATAAAAAGTACTTTCATTTTTAATACTTATTGTATTTTTATTTTATGCTTAGTAATGTGAAATACCATTGGTTTTTTAACAGAGGAGGCTTCAAAAAAGTAATCATGTGTTTCGCTCAAATGTAAATCCAAGAGATGTGCAGATTGTAATAGTTTACGGCAATGAATGCAAGAATAGCGATGATTTGAATTATAATGTAATTCGTAATCAGCCATTGATGTGAAATTAGAATTGCAACCATTCACATTGCATTGAAAATTATCAGTACATCTGAAAATTATTTCAGTTATTTCCAGGTTTAAAATGTTATTCAATAGAAAAAAATTTTTTACCTTTGTTCATCGGATTCTTCAGTAATTTCAAAAACTCCTACTCGTCTATAAACTTTCAACGATTCATCGACTGATTTGAAAAGACCGTCGTCTAAATATTTGAGTCCTGTGCCATGTTTAAGTAATTGTTGAAGTTTCTCCATGCTCGTCATAACTTATATGATTGGAACTTAGAACTTAGAAGTATACAGCGTTATTCTATTTAGTTATTGTACTATTACAAATTACAATACAATTTACAATAATTAAAAACCGGTATTTTTGTCTGATACTCCATAACATAATAAATATTTATCATATTATTATCAAAGTATTCTACAGATAACGATCAATGCTAAGATCTTATCCATGAAGATTAGAGATAAGGAGACCAAACTCCTATGAGCATAGAATATAATATAAGAATATTATATTATCTATGCCTATGAGCCGCCAGTTTTAAAAGTCGCACGGTTATACTGCCACCAGGAGCGCGTCGTTCGATTAGTGGGCTACATTTTACAATTATAGCATGGCGTAGTATTATAGTATTATTATTCTATTCTGTGGTATTATACTATAATAGGAATTATGTATGTTTTTCGAATTAAACATGATTTATTATTCCTTGCAAATAATTTATTACTTTATGATTTAGATGTTAGATCAGATCTAAAACATGTATACAGAATTAGGGGGATATTGGTTAAAATTGGTTCAATAATAAAAAACAAATATATTATTATAATTAGYTAYTAAACAYATGGACATGGATGATTTCCATRTGATTATTTATTATTGAATTCATCAAAATATTAAATTTATAAACAGACAATGTATACAATGATAAGGTTTCAAATAATTTTTATTATTATTTTGTATTTGTTTGATTATTTAAAT